ATGGACCAATCCACATATTTCCACAATAAATTCATCTGTGCTCGGACTCTTCTAGCACTATATGGATTGGTCTTTGACATTGTTATTGGCATTAGGGAGGATAAATAACATAATTTCCTTTGGCTTCCCAAGTGTTTGGATCATGGTGAAAACAAATTTAGGATAGAAAAGCGTTCCTGAATTCATTGTTTGGTTCCAAAAAACAGGTGTACAGAATATTAGAAGTAGGAGACTTTATGCCATGCTTTTCTGTTGGTTCGATGGATAATAGGATGACTAGTAGAACTGCTCATTCCACTATACTGGATTGTGGAATATGCACTGCTTTTTCCACTCCTGCCCTGCGGTCCGATTACAGCCTACAGAATATACTGATGCCTTTCTATGATTAAATTGATACAAAGATGATATTTCTATGAAAACAACATTAGTATTATGTTCTACCACAATGAAAAACCATGTAGTGATCAAACCAAAGTAACTCTTACTCCTGCTTACCTTGAAAATGACACCTTGCCTACCAGGAAAAGAAAGAAAGAAGTATCTTATTACCTGTCGATACATTGCTGTATAACATAATTCAGTCAGACCCAACATCATGAAGCTCCAATTTGTAAAGGTTTCTGGTTTATGAAATCATTCAGTGGCCTCCAAAGCCACCAATTTCAGAGAAAGAAGTTGGAAATTGGCTAAGGAGTTAAATTTTACCCAAATGAACTTAACATTCTTGTATTATATTCATGTAAAACTAATATGCAAATAAAATTAACCAAACTGATTTGGTTATAAATCATTTCCAGATATTATGCACCAGCTCTTGGATTTCTGATGTTTGCTGTTGGGGTGAACTCAAGTGAAAAGGATTTCATTGAAGCATTCAATAGACCGGCAGCTATTTTTGCTGGATATGTTGGTCAGTTCATCATGAAGCCTCTCCTGGGATACTTGTTTGGAACAATTTCTGTAACAGCTTTCCATCTTCCGACTTCCCTAGGTGAGAAGTTCTGTTTATTTCATTTGTTTTCCTCCCCTGTGGCAAAAGAAAAGGATGCTATCTTACTGATTATGGATTTCTGAAGTAGGTGCTGGAATCATGTTAACATCTTGTGTTAGTGGGGCACAGCTCTCAAATTATGCAACCTTTCTAACTGACCCACCAATGGCTCCTCTAAGCATTGTCATGACATCATTATCCACCGCAACGGCAGTTTTTGTAACACCAATGTTATCTCTGTTACTTATTGGGAAGAGGTTGCCTGTTGATGTAAGAGGGATGGTCTCCAGTATAATGCAGATTGTAGTTGCACCTATTGCTGCAGGCCTGCTTTTGAATAGGTGACTGGCTGACTGCATCTGTTTTGCATTTTCTCCTTCCTAGAGTTTTTTTTTTTCCCTCAAGTTCTTCACATTACTTTTTTTTTTTTTTTAATTCTGGAACCTTGCACATAAATATTTGGTTGGTTCCCTGAGGTTTCTAGTGCCCATGCACTCGTCAATTCTAGTTAGTTCATAAACTAAACTACTCTCTGTCTTCACATAATTTGGTTGATTCTGACATTGTTTCTTGTTTCCTCTCTATGAATGAAAGGTTCCTTCCCCGGATTTGTGACGCCATTAGACCAATATTGCCTCCACTGTCAGTGTTTGTAACAGCTCTTTGCGTTGGTTCTCCGCTGGCAATAAACATTAATGCAGTTTTGTCACCCTTTGGAATGACCATCCTAATGCTCATAATTGGATTTCACCTATCATCATTTGTTGCTGGATATGTTCTTTCTGGCCTTTTCTTCCACAGGGCTCCTGATGTGAAAGCTCTGCAAAGAACGTTGTCCTTTGAGACAGGTTTTACTTATTTTCCCTTTACTTTTTATACTAATACTTTAACATGTTAGATCCAAAATAGCATTTTGGTAATGGTCTACCGGATTCTTTCTTTCGCAGGTATGCAAAGCAGTCTTCTAGCACTTGCACTTGCAAACAAGTTTTTCCAGGATCCCCTCGTAGGTGTACCCCCAGCCATCTCGGTAAGTCAAATTACTTTTCCTATCAGCTGATTTTTATGTTGAAAAGAAATTTCCTCTCTGCATAAATTGTTAACTTTCCAGACATGGGTGTTGTCGGATAGATGTGTGATTGGCTCAAGCAGTCATGAATTTGTGGTTGTAAATCTCAATATTCACCAACTTTTACATAACTGTACCCACAAAAAATTATCACTTAAGATAATCCTTTTTGGTAGTAAATGTAATGGGAACTGGGTAAAATCTTTCAGTATTTTGACAAGTATGTATCACTATCAACTGGCAACTGCTAAATTGTTTGCTCTACATGCATCGCTTGAACAATGTTCAAATATCTAGATGATCAATTATATCCACCTTGTGCATTTGAAAGTGTCAAGGGTTTCTCGAGATTGGAACATGGAAATCTATATGTCACTGATTGGATAAATGACATCATGGAAGCACAAATCTATCTATACCTATACTACTATTAAAAGTATGAATGAGAATGTGAAATTTCTGTATGATTAAAATACCCTTATATTTGAATTTGGTCTCTCTCTAATTGTGAGGTTAGAAAATGTAATTTTAACGATTACTTTTTATCTCATTCAATTTTATCTCATTAAGTCTTATATATAACTTATATAAGGTATTAATTTCTTATCTTTCTTATTCATCATTTTTTTTTTCTTATCTTTCTTATTGAATCCAATATTTTTTTAATTTGGTTCCTCTCTAATTGTAAGGACATAAATGTAATTTGAACTACTACTTTTCACCTCATTCAATTCACTTTCATTAACTCTTATGTTTAAGTTTATTCATAAAAAAAGTTTTATGCTTAAGGCATTACCTTTCTCTCTCATTGAATGAAATTATTTTTATTGATAATGGAAATGAAATACAATATTAAAAACCAAATAAAAAATGAAATTGTTTTCTATTTGGTGGCAGGTGAGCAATTCAACCTTTCAGGTCAAATGTGCCAACCCTTGATATCATAATTAAATAAGAATAATTACAAAAAGATAAAAAAACACAAAACAATTTAAAAAAGAAATATTATATGAAACATTTGGGCACATCTCTAATATCATTCATCATGTCAAACAAAATTACAAAAAATCGAAAAAAAAAACTATAGAAAAATTCGGGACATCTCTAATACTTTACATTATTCATATTAAAGAAAAATAAGTGTGATAAACAAGAAAATTGCTTTTATTTATGATGGAAACGAAATACAAAATTTAAAACTAAACCAAAAGTGAAATTGTTTTTCTACTTGGTGGTAGATCAACAATTTAGCCTTTTAGGTCAAATGTGTTTACCCTTGATGTCATAATTGAGTAAATTTAAAAATAAAACCCAAAAAATACATGTTTTGTAGAAAACGTTTAGACACATCTCTAATATTTTATAATAATCACATTGAAGGCAAACAAGTGTAATAAAGAATTTTTTTTATTGATGATGGAAATAAAATACACAATTTAAAACCAACCAAAAAACGAAATTGTTTTCCTATTGCTATTTGTTGGTGGGTCAATAGTTCAACCTTTTGAGTCAAATGTGTCAACCCTTGATTTTATAATTAAATAATAAAAATTAAAAGATAAAAAACAAAAATTACAAGAAAATACAACAAAGGTTGTAAAAGAAAAATTGGAAAGATAATTATTACTATCATTTAAAATTACTAGGTGCACATTTACTAGTACATTTTTTTATCAAATTTACTAGTACATATAAAGATAGAAAGTTGGTGTTCTAAGTTCAAAAGTTTTCTCAAAGTATGAACTTGAATCCCAGCTTATTTATTGCATATTTCTCCACCGATTGTATGCTTAATTTGTCAAAGAAAGGAAGAAAAAGGAACTTCAAATATTGACAAGAAAATGAAGGCTTTTTCACTAAGGCTATGTTTGGTTTGAAGGAAAAAGGTAGGGAAAGGAAGGGAAAGACAGGGAAACCTGTACAAGGTTTGTAAAGGCTTCCTTACCTTTCCCTTCCTTTCCCTGCATATTCCTTCAAACCAAACATAGCCTAATGGCAATTGAAATTTGTGATGAAGAGTAGAAGTTTAAGGTTGGACATAATTAGATGGATCTTCACTGTCTTTCAGGCATCTTATTTTGGTTGAAATTTCAAACTTGTTTTGCCTTTTGTCTCTGCATTATGGTACTAGGGAACTATTACAGAAAGATAATGCATTTATTAATAACATAGAAAAAGAGGCAAGTCGGCTTGTGTTCTTTCCTGTAAAATGTGGACTTTGGCAGTTTGGCTGACTAAAGAGTAAAAAAATACTTGCTGCCTTGCTGGCTGAAATATTCCGCATGTTACTGTCATTTCCATCTCCTGCATTTGGAAAGCTATGGAGTTCCTCTTAGACAACACTTGCTATTACGGTGATTTGCAGGTTGTTATCATGTCTTTGATGGGATTTTCGCTAGTCATGCTGTGGGCTAAGAAAAGAAATTAGAGTGATGAAGCAATAATAAAACAATTGATTCCTTCCTTGATTTGACAAGTTGCATTCTACTAGAGAGGTTTTTTCATGTGCCAATAGGTGTTACGACATATATTTTGTATTTGTTTTGAATTGTAAAATAGCTTTAAAAGATCATTTGGAATCATTTAGTATTTTGAAGATTTTTTTTTTTGTTATTTGAGCGAGTCAAGCCCAGCGACCAAAATGGTTTTATGTCCGGTCCAAATCTGATACACTGGTTCCAAGTGTGATTCTCCAGATTAGGTTGTGATGATGAGGATTTAGCCACTTATGCCTTGTGGGACTACCATCTGTGTTGAATCACCATGGCCACTCGTTGGTTTGAAGACTCTCAGTCAAAAAAAAAGATGAAGAGCTTCAATCACTGCATATTTATTATTTAACCATTCTCGCCCATACCCTGGTGGCGGAGACCTGGGTTCCGCTCGTTGGTATTCACATTTCACAGCAACAGAAGGACTGTTTAAGGTCGTCTCCAATCTCCATGACAGTCAAAGCTTTGCAACAGTCTGGTTTACTCAACGAGAGCCTTATGCTTTGTTGCTTGATGGGATTTGTTCTTCATACTTTGTCCCATGGTGCCAGTTTTCATTCAAAGTCGGTTTAAATTGGGGGATGGACATCTCACGTTGCCTCGTATTGGGGATTGAAATTCGAACAGCCATCTGGGCTAGGGAATGGCATGGCACTATCAGAATTTCCAGAAATGCAGAAGATCAAAAGGAGGCTTCTTTCTGTAATCAGCCATGATTCAGAGTGATTGCTGTTCAAGGAATTTAATTAGGTTCTGTGGAAAAACCAGAGCTTCAAGGGATGACAAAGTTTCGGGCTCTAATCTAAGGGAGAACATTTGGGATGATAGGAATTGCTTTGGTTGCCACATGAGCAGCAGATGATCTCCCTTGGCGTCACCTCTCACAAATTATGATGTTCGTACTCCTTAGTCCATACCAGAAACCGACTGAGGGACTAAGGGTTCATTATATGTTCCAGACCTTCAAGTTGGATTGAACCAAAATTGAAATTAGTGATTTGGTTTGGGAAAATTTTAAAATTTCAATTTACGGTCTTGGTCCCTTTTGTTTTAAAATTTCAATTCGAATTCAATTCTATTAAGGCTGATCTGAATTCAATACATTTATAATTGGATCGAATATAATCTGAGTTGGTTCAATTTAAACATAAACGCTCATATATACAAAAAATTCATATATCTACGAGTAAAGTTGGCCTAAATGTTGTATTTTCAATAAATATAGGTAATTTTTAATTCATTTTGTTCACAAAATTCGTTTATTTTATTAATAATATATAATATTTGGTCATTTTAGTCTATTTTATTTATACTATTTAATATATAATGCGAATTCCATTTGAATCCGCTAGGTATCCAATCGATATGAGATTCAAATCCGAATTTAAATGAATCAAAGTTGAATCTACCTATATCCTATTCAATTCAATTCATTGTAGCCCTAGTATATTATAAATTGAATTATTATATTATATATATATATATATAGACGTTCTAATTGGGTTAAGTCATATAGCCTAAATTGTACATTGTTTGATCATTATAATTTTCTAATCTGGTTTTCTGGACCAGATTGTAAACCCTCTTAGCTTTGTTTTTTTCCCCCACCTTTGACTTCTTTTTTCATAGAATTCCACTTTTGTCACTCAAGTTTATGCTTTTTATGGGGGTATTTTGGTAATTATATCACCAATCTATACCTATATCAATGCTACTATTAAAAGTTTGAATGAGGTCTAGATTATGGAAATTTTTTTATTAAAATACCTTTATTTTTTGAACTTGGTCTGCCTATATTATGAGGGCGAAAAACATAATTTGAACTACTATTTTTATTAAATTCAATGTATACTTCGTCATTAAGTCCTATATTTAAGGTATTAACTCCTATTTATTTTCATTAAATCTTATATTTATGGCACATTAAATAAATGAGCTTTGTGGATTTTTCTTGACTAAAACATCCCTATTTATAAATTTAGTCTCTCTTTAATTGTGTGGGCAAAGTATGTAATTTAAAATACTATTAATTTCCACTTCATTAAATTTCCTCTTGTATTATTTCTCATTCTCTCTCCTTACATACTTTAGTTGAATCATTTTTGTTTCTCACCAATAAATTCTACAAATTAAATCTATATTCAAAACCAACACGAAAAATAATTAGATAAACCACCCTTTTGTCTAAGCGGCAAGTAAATAATTCAACCACCTGCATCAAATGGGTTAGCCATGGTTTAAAGTATTGATACAATACGCCCCGTATCAGGCAAATTGTATCGTATCTTTTGAAAACAATACGATCTGAAATGCCTGTTTCCAGGTGTTTTAGAATCCCAACTTTTTTTAATTAAAAAAAAACATGTTTTTAGCTTCCCAAAAAACCAAATTTTGAAAAAAAAAACTAAAAAAATAAAGTTTCAGGCATTTCTAATTACTAATATGATACTACCGAAACACATATCGTATAAATACTTTGAACCTTGGGGTTAACCAATAGTTAGATAATAACAATTTAAAAATAAATATAGATATTACAAAAATTATAAAAATTTTGTGAAAAAAATTAGGCACATCTCTAATATTATCTATTTATCATATAAAAAAAATTAAAATTACCCAAAAATGAAATTGCTTTCTTTCAAGTCTAATAGGCCGGCACATGATGCCATAATTATATAATAAAAACTTAAAAAAATAGATAGAAATAAAAATATAGAAAACACAAATACTTGTCTACGAAATTTGTGCATATCTCTAATATTATATATTTATCATAATAAACAAAAATGAATATGACGAATTAGAAGTATTTATATTAACAATGAAAGTTCTATACTACTATTAAAAGTGTGAATAAGGTCTTGATTCTGGATTTTTTTACTAAAATACCCTTATTTTTCAAATTTGTTCTACCTTTATTATGAGGGTAAAAACATAATTTGAACTACTACTTTTATTAAATTCATTATATTCCTCACCATTAAGTACTATATTTAAGATATTAACTCTCATTTCCATTCATTAAATCTTATATTTAAGACACATTAAATAAATGATCTTTGTGGACTTTTCTTGACTAAAACATCCATACTTATGAATTTAGTCCCTCTTTAACTATATGGGTAAAAAAATATAATTTAAAGTACTATTAATTTCCACTTTATTAAATTCCCTTTCTTTTAGGTATTAGCTCTCATTCTCTCTTCTTATATACTTTTGTTGGAAGTATTTTTGTTTTTCACCAGTAAATTATATAAATTAATCTATATCCAATATTTTTAATTGTTCAAAACCAACATGGAAAATAATTAAACAAACAACCCTTTTATTTGAATGATAAGTAAGTAGTTTAACCATCCACATCCAACAAGTTAACCAATGTTCTCAAAGTTTAACAATAAAAATAAATATAAATATTACAAAAAAATATAAAAATTTGTGAAAAAATAGGCACATCTCTAATATTATCTATTTATCATATCGGGCAATAATAAGCATTCTAAATAAAAGTATGTTCATTCCACGAAAATGAAATACAAGATTTAAAATTGGCCCAAAAATGAAACCATTTTCCTATTCAAATGGTGGGTTAGTGGTTCAAACTTTTAGGTCAAATGGATCAATCCATGATATAATAAATAAATAATAAAAATTGACCCAACTCGTAATATAGGTAGGCTTAACTTGAGCCCTAATTGATCCAACTCGTAATTTTAGATAGGTTTGCTTCGATTTTCAATCCTCGACATAGGCCTAGGCCTAGGCTCAAAAGTTTGTGTCTTTTTATTTTTTTTAGGTTGGGCCCAAGCTCAAGCCTTAGAGTAGCTAAAATTGGTCTTGATTATATACATATACATATATAGCACATATTTTCATACATGCATGTACATGCAATTATACAAATACAATTTATGTCAAATTTTGTCATGGGGCTAATTAAAAGAGCTAAGTCCAAGACTGACCCAAGTGCACCAAATTTCATTATAGGTTGGGCCCAAGTTGGACAAATCAAGCTTGACTTTGATCTAAAGCCTTAGGTCCAATGCATAGGGTTGGGTCTGGGTTAAGATTAAATTCAGTCTAACCTACTTGACACACACCATAATGGTCCAATCGTTTGAGTAAATAGGTTAACCAATGTTGTCATAATTAAATAATAAAAACTAAACAAAAATAAGTGTGATAAACAATAATTATTTTTAGATTTAATATGCAAATGGAATAAAAAAAAAAGTTAAAATTGCCCAAAAATGAGATTGTTTTTTTTAGTCAAATCAGCGAGAACATGATTTCATAATTATATAATAAAATTTTAAAAATAAATAGAAAACACAAAAATTTGTCAATAAAATTTGTGCACGTATCTAATATTATATATTTATTATATTAAACAAAAATAAATATAAGAAATAAGAAATGATTTTATTAATAATGAAAATAAGATATAAAATCTAAATCCACTAGCACACCATGCTTTGATTATATATCTTTTTTAAATGGTTTTAATAAGGATATTGAAATTATTAATGTTATCTGAAATTGTTATGTGCAACACACGTATATTTACTAGTGAAATATAAAATCTAAATCCACCATCACACCTACTTTGATTATTTATCCTTTTTAGATGGTTTAAGGATATTAAAATTTAATGTTATCTTCTTGAAAGGTAATTAAAAGTGTGGAATTTCTTCCTACCTATGAGAGGGAAAGTTCCTAGATAGAGTGGCTTCTAAAACACTTGGGTGGAGGGATTCTTTATTATTTCAAGTGGGCAAAGAGGTGTTTATGAAGTCTGTAATAACTACAATTTCATCTTGTTGTATGTCATGGTTTCTTTCCCTTTTGACAATTTCATCTTGTTGTATGTCATGGTTTCTAAATCCACTAGCACACCATGCTTTGGTTATATATCTTTTTGAAAGTAAAATACTATCCTAATTCCCATTTTCTTTATGCCTCTAAAAAAGGTCTCAATATTAGGGATGGAAAAGTGTGATGGAAGGAAAGAACATTCTAGATAGTGGAGTAGTTGGGAAAATCAACAAGGGGTAGTAGGTTAATCTCTGGTATGATCCTTGGGTTCTAGGATTGGAAAGTTATAAACCTCTTGAGCCTCAAACCTTGGAATCACTAGACCAAAAAAGTGGTTACCCTAATCAACAAAAGAGGCAGATCATGGAATGAAAGTTGTGTAAAATCCCTGTTTCTTGATGTTGTTGCTCAAAAAATCCTTAACATTAGATTGGAATCCTCTAAGTGGGAGGACAAATTAGTTTGGCCTCCAAACACTGTCAGGAATTTCTAGTGAAATCAGCCTATCACTTAGCTATCAATTCTGATTTGCACATTTCCCCATCAAGATCTTTTGTCACTCTTTCAAGAAAGGTGGAATTTCATTTGGAAACTTCCAATTAAGCCAAAAGTCAATCATTTCTTATGGAAGTGTTGTTTGAATGCTTTCTCAATTATGGAAAATCATTTTAAAATAAAGGTGATTCAATCCCCTAGTTTCTCTAGGTGTGAAGGTGGTGCCGAATCTATCTTTCATTCCCTTGTTATTTGTAGCAAAGCTGGATGTATTTGGTTTGGGCCTAAGATCAAATTTGATGGACCGGAATGCCTCTTTTTAACACCTGGTTTCTTGATTCTGTTTGTGTTAATGGTTTATGTGATACCAGTCTTGCTATCAAAATGGCTAACTTGTTGTGGATAATATGGAAGGGCATAAGTTCCTTCTTTTTTGAATATATTGGTGCTGACTTTCTCACTGTTATTATGCCTTTTAACAAGTTGACTGCAGAGATACCTTTGAACTCGACTTAGAGATTCAAAGCTCTTCCAAGGCTGAATGAGGAATAAGTCATTCTTCTTTTTGGATGTTGGATTTTAATCTCATTAGAGATTAAATCCAATGGGGTTTGATTGGTCAATTACATGAAAAATTACACTTGCACACTTGTCTTGAAAATAGTTTCTTTTCTTACTAAAAACAGTTTTTTAACTTGTCCCACATTAGAAAA